AAAAAAAAAAAAAAAAAAAAAAAAACTTTGAGATCTCCTGTATAGTATCTCTGTAAAATGGGTACCATTTATGGTATTCCCGTAATGTATGAGATAAAAAGCACAGCTCTCCCCTAGTATGTTTCAATCCATCCAGGAAAAAGCTTACAAAATTATTAGATAATATTCTTAAAAGCTAATCACAGGAAGCTGGGATAAATACTTTTGAATGCCAAAAAAGGACAAGTCTCTCACTGCTCTCATCTATCTTTATTGGTTTATGCACACTGTCAGCTTGAGAAAGCAAATAAGGAATATGCCTGAGCAGTTCTGAGGTATTCCTGGAAAATGAACAGTCTATCAGTTGGAATTTACAGATGCCACCTTCGTCTTTGAACTTGTTCATGACTCTGAATGTAGCATGTAAGCAAGATGAGCAATAGGATGTGTGTGTATGGAACAACTAGACGCCTACTTATAGTATGTCACAGATTATCAGAGCAAAATATACTGTGACTTTTTCCAGTGCTCCTTTTATAAATTCTCAGGATCAGTCCTGTGAGTGTAATAAAGGACATTGGGAGGGTACAGATGTTAAATCTATATAAAAATGTTCTGAAATGTAGGAGTTACATACAGCCTTAGGTGTCAAAGCATTTTCCTTACAGAAGTATCAATAATAGCTGTGATTCTCAGACTTTATTTATCTGAGACAGAGTCTCATGTCACCCTGGGTACAGTGCCATGGCGTCAAAACTCACAGCAACCTCAAACTCTTGGGCTTAAGTGATTCTCTTGCCTCAGCCTCCCAAGTAGCTGGGACTACAGATGCCCGCCACAACACCCAGCTATTTTTTTTGTTGCAGCTGTCATTGTGTTTAGCTGACCCAGGCTAGGTTCAAACCTGCCAGCCTCAGTGTACGTGGCCAGCACAGTAATCACTGTGCTACAGGCGCCGAGCCTGATTCTCAGACTTCAAAATGGCAAGTTTAAAAGGCAACAGAAGAGCATGTGACAGTAGTATAACATGAGGCTCTTATTTTGATGGCCACCCCAGAAGAGGTAAAACAGTCAGTCAGATGTGGTTTTTTTTTTTTAAGGTTGGGTAACAATGTGTGGGAGAGCTACCAATTCAGTTTCTCAGGCATTGCGGACAAAAAAATAGAGCTCCTGATCATGCACAGTGACTCTTGCCTATAATCCTAGTACTCTGGAGGGCTGAGGCAGAAGGATCACTTGAACTCAGGAGTTCAAGACCAGCCTGAACAAGTGGGAGATCTGGTCTCTATTAAAAACAGCAAATTCAGCCAGGTGTTGCAGCTGGTACCTGTAGTACGCGTTACTTGGGAGCCCAAAGCAGGAAGATCACTTGAACTGAGGAGTTTGAGGTAGCTATGAACTAAGCTGACACCATGGCACTCTAGCCTGGGTAACAGAGTAAAACTCTGTCTCACAAAACAAAATTAATAAAAACAAAAAAACATGATTCCATGACCTTATACTTGGTGGTGATAGCAGAGGGCATAACCAATTTCCTTAGGGTCTGTTGACAAAAGCTAACAGAATAGAAGTTTCAGCTGCTGACTCAAAATCTTGGATGCCTAGTTACGGTACAGACAGATGACAAATAAAACTCCACAACATGCCTGTCTCTGTGGTGCAATTGGTTAGCGTGTTCGGCTGTTAACTGAAAGGCTGGTGGTTTGAGCCCACCCACGGACAACAGCAGCAGTTTGGGCGGCACCTGTGGCTCAAAGGAGTAGGGCACCGGCCCCATAGGCTGGAGGTGGTAGCTTCAAATCCAGCCCCAGCCAAAAACTGCAAAAAAACCAAAAAAAAAAAACCTCTCTACAACAGTGGAGATCACTAAACACAAACAATGAAAGTGAAGTTATATAACTAAGTCTGATATTTAAAAGATCAAATTTTGAATTTTTGGAGTGAAATCAGTGACCCAAAAATAAAACTACAGAGAGATACTATTTCACAACCACCAGACTAACAAAATTAACAAGTTTGACAATGGGCATCAGACATACTGTGGAAATCACTCGTCCCCTCAGGACTTCATTGGCAGGAGTCAAAAGAAATCCCTCAAGTTCTAAGTGCTTAGAATAACTCCATCCTTCCCCCAACCTTCATTTCTCCAACTGTAAAAGCCAAGCAAGCATCAGTGTTCATAGTATTCCTCAACCAAGAGAACTCCACTGTTCCCTATGTTCTAGACAAGATGCCCCTCTTCTGGGTCCTTCAAACCACTATCGGCAAGAGCCATGAGGAAACCCCAAAGCTCTAAGTGCTCAGACTAACACCACCCCTTACCAGCTCCCTCACTCATTCTTTAGCCTTATCACTACCAAATAAGCAGGAGGAAAAGAGCGTCTGGAAATGGTCCTGGCAAGATTCCCAAACCCCAACCCCACCCCAACATTCACAGCTTCACTACCATCTCCTACATCATAGCATTAGAAACAATCTCATATCTGCATCTGTTCATGTCAATCACTACATGAAGCCCAGGATTTTCTAGTTGTAGCTCATCCCCTTAGTCTCTAATCTCCCATATGGCTCTAAGAGAAGTGAGATAATACCCACTACCCTTGTGTCTTTTTCCCCACAAAATACTACTGAGAGCAGGACTTTTTGTCTTTTTATTTACTCCTACAAATGTCCAATAAATATTTCTTGACTGAACAAATGGCAAAAAGAAAGCACAACTTGAATCCTTATGTTCTAATGATAGAAGTGTAAATTAGTACAATCACTTTTGGAATTTAGCATTATCTACTACAGCTTAAGATATGCACTTCCTATACCTCAGCAATTGCACTCCTAGGTAAAAATCCTAGAGAAGTTACATATGTACATTTCAAAACATGAATAAAAATATTTACAGTAGTATTGTATAATAGCAAAATAAGAGCCAAAATGTCCATGAACAAGACAATGGATAAATTGAGGTCACATACAATGGGCCAACTATATATACAGACATAGATGAAACTAAATGTTGAATTTTAGGTTTTGCTCTGTCACCCAGGTTGGAGTAGAGTGGCACAATCACAGCTCATTGCAGCCTCACACTCCTGGAGTCAAGTGATCCTCCTGGCTCAGCCTCCTGAGTAGCTGGGACTATGAGCATGTGTCACCATGCTTGACTAATTTTTAAATTTTCTGTAAAGACAGTGTCCCACTATGTTGCCCAGGCCTATCTTAAAACTCCTGGCCTCATAAGTGCTCTCAAAGTGCTAGAATTGCAGGTGTGAGCCCCCATGCCTGGCCAATGCACACGTTCTTAAAACCTTCCACTTACATAAGGTTTGTAAACTTTACAAAAGTATGTAAAATTAATATATTGTTTTGGATAAATAAGCAATAAAGCTAAAAAGAAAAGAAGAATAAGCCCCAAACTCAGGATCATTATTACCTATGATGGGCCTGGAAAAAAGGTAGGATGGGGAGGGTGTTCAAAAAATTTCAGAGATACTTGCAATTTTTTTTAACTGGGTGGAGTTATGAGAATATTCACTCTATCATAAATCCAACAGATTGCACATTTCTATTCTGTACTTTATAATTAAAAAAAAAAA